GGACCTGCCTGCAGTGTTGACGGACAAGCCGGCAGATTCGCAGAGGCGGTGGCTTTAGGGGGAGGGCGGAAATTGCGGTTTATACTTGGGGAACCCCCGTCCCTCCCCCACCTGAGCCATAGAGTGGAAATACCGCGCCACACACCTGGGGACCTGACAACCTGGCGGGCCCCTATTGCAGCAAACTAATGCTGGAAAGAGCTGGTTCCGCGCGTGTCACTTTGGAGGGGGCCTAAGCAGAAGCAGCCCTGGCACTTTCTTAACGTTCAGCCTGTGGATGAGACTGAACACGATTCAGGGCCTGGGAGGAGGAAGCAGAACAAAACCTTTTACAGCTTAATTGCTCTTTCAAGTCTGCTTGGGGATGGCCTCCATCATTGTTTCCCTCATTTCTTGAACTAGAGGGTCCTTAAGATACCCATTCTAGGGCCGCCGTGGGTTCGGATCCTATATAGGGATGGCCGGTGCACTCACTGGCTGAGAGCGGTGCGGGCAACACCAAGCCAGGGGTTGCGATCCCCTTACCGGTCACATAAAAAAAAAAAAAGATATCCATTCTAGGCTGGCACGTGCTTTTCAGAGTTCCTGCGCAGTTCTTTCCAAAACTGTGCGGCTGCATGTTAAAACCATCTATTGTGTTCAGCCAGAAAAGCCCCTCTGACTGTCCTCATCTGCAGCTTCTGGCTGATAACAAACGAATGAATAAAAGAGCAGGCCAAATGTAGGAATGGAACAGCAAGATTGTCTGCTAATGCCTTGCTGTTCTGGCATTCTAGGTGAATGACCCAGATGCAGAGCTGTGGGTGGTGAGTATGAGCAGCTTTTGACACTTTCCTCCATCTGAAAATATTGTAGAACTGCACAAAACACACTGTTTTATCTATTTGTCCCTCCTCCCCGCTTTACTTACTTAAAAACTCAGCAATCAATCCCTTTGTAAGCTTTTTCCTAGAATATCACTGGGGGGGGGGGGTCAGAGTGGTAACGTAGTGTGTGTGTGCATGTGCATGTGAATTCAGAACTTTCTGGAGACACAGGGACCTTTCTGCAGTGTTCCCACTGGATAGATGGCCCAACTGAGGACACTTTTCTTGACATAGAGTAGATGTCTCAAGATCAATTCCTCATGAATTTCTAGCCAGAAATGCCAGTAAACCTTTGACCAGGAAATGGCAGGCTTAAGCTCTGTGGTTCTGCTAATTCTGTGAGTTTTATTTATAGAACGTAATTAAAGTCCATAAAACCTACAGTCTTCATATGACCAATGTGTGATTTGAATCATTTGGAGGAGAGGGAAATTGTCCAATACATTTTCTGAAATATCTCAATTTTGCCCAGTTTCTTTCTATACAGATACACAAGTCTGTATAATATCACCAATGAGACGATTCTTAGGCTTCGTGATAATGTTGACCATGTACAGATGGGCAATGAGTGAAAGCATTATGCAAAATGCATCATAATGCAAAATTCTAGTCAGTTTTTTGTTGTTGTTGTTTGTTTGTTTGAAAGAGGACCAGTAAGAGGATCTTAACCCTTGACTTGGTGGTGTCAGCACCACGCTCTCCCAAGTGAGCCACGGAACAGCCCCTCTGGTCCATATCCTGAGTTCCAAATATTATTTCCATGCAGACAAGTCTCAAATATCCAGCTTAATGTTGAATTTCCAAGAGACCACAGGATATATCCACCTGAACCGTCACACTGCTTTTCAAATGTGCCCAAGGTCCTCTCCAGCATCTTCCCCTCCAAACCCACTCCTCCTCCTGATGCACCCAACTATTATAGGCAGAACCATTTTCTGAGTTATCCTTGATCAAAACCTCAGTCATCTTTCCCGTCTCTCTGTTGCTTACTACTGCCTTTGAGATCCCCTCCAAAAACAAATTAAAAAGCAAAAGCAATCCAACAAAAAACAGTCTAGGTCTAATTGCTATCTGTACGGCATCTGGACATTTTACCTTTCACTTCAGGCTTGGATGAAACAGGATGAATAAACCCCACGTCCCAACAGACATCCTCTCTCATTCCTGGTTCAGCCCTCCATTACCTCCCGCATGGACCCCCAGAACTGCTTCCCACTGTCCTGTCTGCCTCTAAGCTCTTCTCCTCCTTGAACAATTCCTGTATGTCACTTTCTGCTTCAAAAACTTTTATCATTTCCTGAGATCTAAGTTCAAACTCCCCAACTTGGATGCAAGGCCCACCATGGTATGGTCCCAATCCACCTTCCCAGCAATAATAGGTACTGTGTCTTGCCCCCAGAATTGCTCTACCCAAGCCTCAAGACTATCTCAAATGCTGTCTCACCCAAAAAATCTCTCTGCCTCTTTCCCATAAGTTCTGACCATTCTTCCTTTGAACTGTATTGTAATTCTAACACATTCAGCTTTGCATTCGATTTGGCTCTGTACATGCCAGCTGCAAGGAGGACAAGGACAGTTCTTCTCCCTCCTTGGTAGTCTTCAGGCAACCTAACATAGAGCCTCCCTTATAGAGATCCTTCCTGTATTATTCTTGAAATGAATGAGAGAATGGATGCACAGGTGAATAAGTACTAGGTCATGGGGCCTTTGAGTGCACCCAGCGTATTTCTGTGTTCCCTAGTACACCTTGCTCATGGAGGATATTTGCATCAGGATGCATACAGCAGCAAAAAATGGGAAATGTGACTAGCATCAGGTTATAAATCAACAGAGTATCTCAATTAAGAAGTCCAGAAGTAGCTGCTTAATGGTCACATGTATCATCAAGGCCCCAAGCTTTCTGTCTTTCTTCCCTGCCACCCTCAATGTGTGGATGACATCTCCTCTCATTTACAGAATGGCTGCTGCAGCTTCAGACACCTCATCTACAGGAAAGAGCATCCCAAATACAAAGAAGCAACGCAGGAGAAAAATAAGTTTTCTTCCTCTGCTTTCTTTCCTTTTATCAGAGAGGAAAATGTTTCCAAAGAAGCCCTCGGGCAGAGCTGATAAGCTGATATTCAGTTTGTACATATCAGTATGGGATGTTATAGGGGTTCCATTCTGATTGATTAGCACCCCTGCATATTAGTTGTTAAATGCTTTGAGTATCAGCCTTGCCCCTAAAAGACTTTNAAATGCCAGTAAACCTTTGACCAGGAAATGGCAGGCTTAAGCTCTGTGGTTCTGCTAATTCAGTGAGTTTTATTTATAGAACGTAATTAAAGTCCATAAAACCCACAGTCTTCATATGACCAATGTGTGATTTGAATCATTTGGAGGAGAGGGAAATTGTCCCATACATTTTCTGAAATATCTGAATTTTGACCAGTTTCTTTCTATACAGGTACACAAGTCTGTATAATATCACCAATGAGACGATTCTTAGGCTTCGGGATAATGTTGACCATGTACAGATGGGCAATGAGTGAAAGCATTATGCAAAATGCATCATAATGCAAAATTCTAGTCAGTTTTTTGTTGTTGTTGTTTGTTTGTTTGAAAGAGGACCAGTAAGAGGATCTTAACCCTTGACTTGGTGGTGTCAGCACCACGCTCTCCCAAGTGAGCCACGGAACAGCCCCTCTGGTCCATATCCTGAGTTCCAAATATTATTTCCATGCAGACAAGTCTCAAATATCCAGCTTAATGTTGAATTTCCAAGAGACCACAGGATATATCCACCTGAACCGTCACACTGCTTTTCAAATGTGCCCAAGGTCCTCTCCAGCATCTTCCCCTCCAAACCCACTCCTCCTCCTGATGCACCCAACTATTATAGGCAGAACCATTTTCTGAGTTATCCTTGATCAAAACCTCAGTCATCTTTCCCGTCTCTCTGTTGCTTACTACTGCCTTTGAGATCCCCTCCAAAAACAAATTAAAAAGCAAAAGCAATCCAACAAAAAACAATCTAGGTCTAATTGCTATCTGTACGGCATCTGGACATTTTACCTTTCACTTCAGGCTTGGATGAAACAGGATGAATAAACCCCACGTCCCAACAGACATCCTCTCTCATTCCTGGTTCAGCCCTCCATTACCTCCCGCATGGACCCCCAGAACTGCTTCCCACTGTCCTGTCTGCCTCTAAGCTCTTCTCCTCCTTGAACAATTCCTGTATGTCACTTTCTGCTTCAAAAACTTTTATCATTTCCTGAGATCTAAGTTCAAACTCCCCAACTTGGATGCAAGGCCCACCATGGTATGGTCCCAATCCACCTTCCCAGCAATAATAGGTACTGTGTCTTGCCCCCAGAATTGCTCTACCCAAGCCTCAAGACTATCTCAAATGCTGTCTCACCCAAAAAATCTCTCTGCCTCTTTCCCATAAGTTCTGACCATTCTTCCTTTGAACTGTATTGTAATTCTAACACATTCAGCTTTGCATTCGATTTGGCTCTGTACATGCCAGCTGCAAGGAGGACAAGGACAGTTCTTCTCCCTCCTTGGTAGTCTTCAGGGAACCTAACATAGAGCCTCCCTTATAGAGATCCTTCCTGTATTATTCTTGAAATGAATGAGAGAATGGACGCACAGGTGAATAAGTACTAGGTCATGGGGCCTTTGAGTGCACCCAGCATATTTCTGTGTTCCCTAGTACACCTTGCTCATGGAGGATATTTGCATCAGGATGCATACAGCAGCAAAAAATGGGAAATGTGACTAGCAGCAGGTTATAAATCAACAGAGTATCTCAATTAAGAAGTCCAGAAGTAGCTGCTTAATGGTCACATGTATCATCAAGGCCCCGAGCTTTCTGTCTTTCTTCCCTGCCACCCTCAATGTGTGGACGACATCTCCTCTCATTTACAGAATGGCTGCTGCAGCTCCAGACACCTCATCCACAGGAAAGAGCATCCCAAATACAAAGAAGCAACGCAGGAGAAAAATAAGTTTTCTTCCTCTGCTTTCTTTCCTTTTATCAGAGAGGAAAATGTTTCCAAAGAAGTCCTCGGGCAGAGCTGATAAGCTGATATTCAGTTTGTACATATTAGTATGGGATGTTATAGGGGTTCCATTCTGATTGATCAGCACCCCTGCATATTAGTTGTTAAATGCTTTGAGTATCAGCCTTGCCCCTAAAAGACTTTTCCTTACATTTCATTGCTGGAACATGACCACCCCTAACTGCAAAAGAGGCTAGGGAAAAAAATTGGCTTTTTCAGCTTTTGTAGTGGCAGGTGGATAAGGGAGAGCTGTATTAAGAATGACTGCCATGGTACTCAATGACTATGTGTTAAATTAAACTAAATATTGTAAGGAACGACCAATGGCTCACTTGGGAGAGTGTGGTGCTGATAACACCAAGTCAAGGGTTAAGATCCCCTTACCGGTCACCTTTTTAAAAAAAAACAAAAAACCTAAATATTGTAAATGAATACTATGATACCTTTAATTTTTGTGTTCTACCAACAAAAATATAAAAGTTTATTTTAAGTGGGTTCTGTTGAGTTCATTATTGAGTGTTTGTACTGTGCGTTGTTTTAACTTGTGTACTAGAAACAATTATTTTCAGTGTCTCTGTCCTTAGCATATTTTTAGATCTCTTTCAAAATAGAGAAAAGCATTTAAATGAGTATTAATGAGGGCCGGCCCATGGCTCAT